GACTACAGGTGCCCGCCACAACCCCTGGCTATTTTTTGGTTGCAGCCATCATTGTTGTTTGGTGGGCCCAGGCTGGATTTGAACCTGCCAGCTCAGGTGTATGTTGCTGGCACTTTAGCCACTTGAGCCACAGGTGCCGAGCCATGACTTTTTTTTTGTAGTTGTTGTTGTTTAGCAGGCCCTGGCTGGGTTCGAACGTCCAGCTAGGTGCATGTGGCTGGCGCCCTAATCACTGAGCTATGGACGGCGAGCCCTGGTTGAATTTCTTTTCCTTTTTTTTTTTTCTTTTTTTTGTGTAGAGACAGAGTCTCACTTTGTCGCCATGGCGTCACACAGCTTACAGCAACCTCCAACTCCTCAGCTTAGGCAATTCTCCTGCCTCAAACTCCTGAGTAGCTAGGACTACAGGTGCCTGCTACAACGCCCAGTTATTTGTTTCAGTTTGGCCGGAGTTGGGTCTGAACCCACCACCCTCGGTATATGGGACTGGTGCCCTTCCCCACTGACCCACAGGCGCCGCCCTGGTTGAATTTCTTATTATAAATATGATAAGAACTATCATGTCAGGAGCACTGACAACATCAAGTTTTCACACTCAAGCCCTGCAGCTTCCTCCAAGTATACTGAGGCCTGGGTGGGGATGTCCCTGGCCAGGACCTGCAGCTGGACAGACAGAGTGGGGATGGAGATTTTGGCCTCTCATTGTGGTCCCAGTTTCCTTTCTCCATTTATCTGATTTACTCTTTTTTGTCAATGAATCAGACTGGATCGAAAACATAGCTCATTTGCATGTGTCTTGAATTAATTTGCATCTCATTTACAAACCTTTTACTTGGCAGATGGTGGAAAACTCTGAGCTGAAAATTGAAAGAATCCGTAGAATCTAGTGTAGTTAGCAAGGGAACTAGTGGGCTGGAGGGGGCCAAACAGTCCAGTAAGGTTGCTTGGTCTTTAATGTCCCCAAAGCTTTGCTGTGCCAGAGGGGGAGGCTGACTTCTTTGTGTTAGATTTTGGTTTCTTCCCACATCTCAATGGGAAAACTGAGGCAGGTGGCAGCAATTCCTGGCTAGAATCTGGATGTCAGTTTCTGTCCCTATGAGAGAGGCTGGTATTGTAGCCCATGTTATAGAGGGGAAACTAAATCAATTGGGGCTGAGTCCTGGCTGGAACCAGTGTCTCTAGCTGTCTGCACTTTGTGATTGTCTGTGGGCTGGCCCTAGTGACCTGGGCAAGGGTAGGATGTGATTCAGGAAATGACTTCTAGGCACTTGTCTCCTCTGCCAGTCTGGTCCTGTGTCCAAGGCTGACTTCAGCAGTATCTCTGGGTTTCTGAGTTCTGGCAAGTTTTGGCCAATAGGTGGCACTGATTTGCAAGGGGAGAAGGAAAGGAGAGGGTATTTAATCTTTCTTCCTCCCAGTTCAGGGGCAACATCTCTGTTGTGGCTTTGGAATTTGTTCTGCTTCTAGAAACAATCAAATGGCTTGTCCAGTGTTAGGTGGTGGTGGGCTAGCCAGCCCACCTCCCCCCCCACCCCTTGACGGAGAAAGGTGCTAGCTGTGGGTTGATTGTTGGCAAAGGCATCCCAGGTGGAGGCCCTGAGGTGGGAAATATCTTAGGGCAGTGGTTCTCAACCTTCCTAATGCCGTGACCCTTTAATACAGTTCCTATGGGTCGCGACCCACAGGTTGAGAAATGCTGTAAGGGGCTTTCAGGAATAGCAAGCAGGTTAGTGATGGGGCCTGAGGGGAGTTAGCAAGGGGTAAGGAGTATAGGTGAAGGCAGAGAGGAAGTGAGGTGAGTGCTTGGATTTTATACCAGGGGCTATAGGCATCTACAAGAGGATTTTAAGCCTTCCCATAAAGTTGAGCAGGGATTAGAACTAAAAAGTACTTAACTCTAAGCTTTGATCTAAAATCTGAGCCAGAGAGTCCTGGGTTGGAGTCCTGGCTCTGTTGGTAAGTTACTGAGGGATCCTATGTCACTTCCCTTTTTGAGCCTCAGTTTCCCCATCTGTAACAACAGATGAGAGTTTCCAGTTACATATTCCCCAATGAGATGCTGTGATAATTAAACAAGATGATGCACATGAGTGCTTGAGCACTGAAATACAGTATATGGGACAGAGTAAGTGCTCAGAAAAAGATATCTATCTCATTTGCATAAGGGAAATGGGAACTTTTCTTTTTGTAGTTTCACACAGACCCTATTGTTCCTTTAATGTGTGTGGGGTCTGTAGTGATGTCTCTCTTTCATTCCTGATACTGGTGATATGTGTTCTTCCTCAGTTTTTTCTTGATCAGTTTAGCTAAAGATTTATTAAATTTGTTCAACCTCTTAAGGAACCAGCTTTTGTTTGGGGGGGGGAAGCTTTGTTACCATTATTTCTATAGTTTTGTTTTGTGGATTCTTTTTTTTTTTGAGATAGAGTTTCACTTTGTTGCTGTCAGTAGAGTGCAGTGGCATCACAGCTCACAGCAACCTTCAACTCTTGGGCTTAAGTTATTCTCTTGCCTCAGCCTTCCGAGTAGCTGGGACTACAGGTACCTGCCACAATGCCCAACTACTTTTTGTTGCAGTTGTTACTGTTGTTGTAGCTGGTTGGGGCTGGGTTTGAACCCACCACGCTCAGTATATGGGGCCGGTGCCCTACCCACTTGAGCCACAGGTGCTGCCCCTGAGAATTTTTTTTATCTTTATGACTTCTTTCTACTTACTCTTGTTTTTCTAGCTTCTTAGGAACCTTACTTAGGTCATTGATGTTAAGATCTTTCTTATTTTCTAATATAGCACCTAAAGCTGTAATTTCTCCTCTAAACATTGCTTTAGCTGTATCAGATATATACATTCTGATATGTTGAGTTTTCATAATCATTTGGCTTGAAAACTTTCTAATTTCCTTTGTAATTACTACTTTGATGCATGTGTTAATTCAGAATTGTGTTGCTTAATTTTGAAGTATTTTGGGAGGATTCTGGATTTTTTTTTTTTTTTGAGATAGAGCCTCACTCTGTCACCCTGGGTAGAGTGCCATGGCATCATAGCTCACAGCAACCTCAAACTCCCGGGTTCCAGTGATCCTCAACCCTCAGCCTCCCAAGAAGCTAGGACTACAGGTGCTCACCACCACATCTGACTAGTTTTTCTATTTTCAGTAGAGACAGAGTCTTGCTCTTGCTCAGGTTGGTCTCAAACTCTTGAGCTCAAGCAATCTGCCCACCTCAGCCTCCCAAAGTCCTAGGATTACAGGATATCTTATTATTACTGATTTCTCACTTTATTCCTTTGTCATCAGATAATAAACTTTTTAAGGTTCAAATTTTCAATAGCTGTTGGGACTTGTTTTATGACCTTTCACATAGACTATAACATTCTGATTATAACAATTTTGACAATATGTCAAAATTACATTGTAGGGTAAGTTGTATAATATATAAATTACTCCTCAATAAACATGTTAAAAATTATATTGCAAAGGGTCCAACAATACAAAAACAAACAAGAGGCTCGGCGCCTATAGCTCAACCGGCTAAGGCGCCAGCCACGTACACCTAAGGTGGCG